TGAATAAGTACATTTTTATCACTAATACAAACACAAATGAATGTATATCTTCAATATCCACAATTTATTTAGATATGTATGTGCATGAACATACCTGCATGCATGCATATACTTGAACATACATGCACATCACACTACACACACACACACGCACACGCACACACACACACACACGTACATATTTTCACATACAAATAATTGTTTAATTATAAATATTGTGTATTATGAACGAACGAATGAATGAATTAATGCATTAATGAACGAATGAATGATTGAATGAATGGACGAACGAATAAACATACCGTTTTCGGTTTTTAAATGAAGTGTATTTTATAACATGAAAAATCTCATGTTCTTTGCTCTATCATGCTTTAATATCTATAAAATTTGTTTTCCCTCTCTCTCCATCCCTCTATTTTTTCTCCCTCTCTCTCACTCTACCTTTCTCTGTTTTTCTCTCTTTATATAAATGTGTAATCAATTGTTGGTATGTTTGTTCGTTCATTAGTTTATTTGCTAGTTTTTTCATTATTTTCATCAACATTCATTCGTTTGTTCATTCGTTCGTTCGTTTGTTCATTTTCTATCTTTATCTCATTCCAAAAATTTAATTGAATAATTAATTTTAATTGAACTGATTGAAAACTAGTTAAAATTGGTCAAATCGATTGCTTTGATTCACGTAATTAAAAGTCGCAGTTCTAATTGCCATGTAATTAACTATATGAAATTTCACGTGTGTATGTGTGTGTATGTTTGTCTGTGTGTGTGTGTATGTGCGTGTGTGCATGTATGTGTGTGTATGTATAATTAAAAATTGGTTTATTGTTTTTAACAAGGATGTATGTGTGTGTATGTCTCTCTCTCTCTCTCTCTCTCTCTCTCTCTCTCTCTCTCTCTCTCTCTCTCTCTCTCTGTATGTGTATGTCTCTCTCTCTCTCTCTCTCTCTTTCTGTGTGTGTGTGTGCGCGCGCACGTGGGTTTCTTGATCAAGCACAACTAATTCGAACTAAAGAAAAAGAAGAAAACAACTTGACGGCCAGTACAAAAATCCTGCCAAATTCCCGTGTGACTGAACACACAATAAGTTCGGTAAAAAATTTTCAATTTAATTTAAACTTGAATGAAATTAATAACTACTATTATTAATATATCATATTACAATTAAACATATAGATGTGTGTGTGTGAGTGTGTGTGCGTCTGCGTGTGTGTTCATACAGCAGCAATAAAAGAGATCATTCATCAATACATCACATCGTAAGTGTAAAAACGTGTCCATACGAAAACCCTCTTTATAAACATCACGTGACAATCACGCACGCCCAATTACACACGCACACAAAAAGAAACTCGTACATACACACACACAAACGTATAAGCACACACACACAAACGCAAATACACACACATACACACAAATAAACAACCATACGCAAATACACACACATACACGCAAATAAACACACATACACGCAAATACATACACAGACACATATACACGCACAAACAAATACACGCACATACACGTATAAAAAAACACAAGCACACACACGTACATACACACACGTACATACACACTTTTATTGATACTACTACCTCTGTTAGTACTACTAAATGAAACAGAACAGATGTTGTTTTATATTTTAAATAGCCAGGCATAGCTGAGTTTAAATGTTGAAAATAATATGAACAACGTAGATTATTGTTATTGTTCATTCCTTCATCCATTCATTCACTCGATCAATAATCCCATTATCCATCTGTCCATATATTCATTATTGGCTTGGCAGATTAACCTGGATAAATGAACGAATCAAAAACCGCGTTCCAACACACGCACACACACGCGCACGCAAGCACACACATTTATTATTATTATCACCATCATCATCACCACCACCATCAATATGGGGTCGAGGCATAGGAAACACACGTGCCGGGAAACATCCTATATTTATAATAACAGATTGCAGGCTGTGTATGTGCGTGTGTGTGTATGTGTGTGCGTGTGTGTGTACATGTGTCTGTATGTGTCTTAACGTGTGTATATGTACGCATGTATGAATGTATGAATAAAACATACATAGGAACACATACTTATATATGAACAGCCACATATACGTACAAATATGCAACATATACACAAACAAACACACACACATACAGGCAAACAAACACATACATACATACAAACACTATTTTAACTTAGCTACAATACAAACACATACACACAAGAAACACAGCTAAAAATTGTGGATCTTGGACTTGCTCAGATAAGTTTTTTAAATGCAAAAAAACTACAATAACAACATAATAATAATAACAAAAATAAAGGAATAATAAAAGAATAACATTCACACATGGTGCTAACAAGAACCCCATTTAACCTTTAAAATGCTTTTAAAAGAGTTCTTTACATGCTTTCTCACGTTACACATTATTGCGTGTGTGTGTGTATGCGTGTGTGTATGAATGTGTGTGTATGTATGTGTGTGAGTGTGTGTATTTATGTGTATGGATGTGCTTATGTATATGTGCGTGTTATTATAGCGAATTTACATTTGGCCACTTATTTAGCATTTGATTACTATACCATATACCAACGCCTCATTCTAAAAACCATAAAAGCTCGTCCTGTAAAACTTAATGATGACCATTCGCTCGACCCAAGTTGCCATACACGACTTGTGAAGCCTGTGGCTACCACAGAAAACTTATCTTCTAACATTTTTTATTGCCCTTTTTTGTTTTTGTTTTTTAAATTCGTTATTATTGTTCGCAATGCGGTGAAAAAATTAGCAAATATTAAAAACGATTAAATTTATATTTGATAAATATATAATTCTCCCCCTCCTCACTCACTCCATCCCTTATCAACCCTACATTATAACTTCTTAAAACCCACCCAGCAAAACTCCAAACATACCCAAAAATAAAGAATAAAATGCGATTTACCACGTCGTCTTTCTGATGGTTGCCAGACACCTCGCCAGCAATATGACCTATCTGTATTCTCTCAGAGTCGGCAAATCAAACAGGTTATTCCACATTCCACACTAAGTAAACAGGCTAAACTAAGAAAGAGTGTGATAAAATGACAATTATTATTAATAACAATCCCTTAACTCTATTTTTGGGTGTATCATTTTAATTTTTCCCTATTCAGAAGCGCAGTCTACAATATCTTAAATTAACCTACACAATAAAATAAATCTAAATTCCATCTAATCAATCTTCAGTCTAAATCAATCTAAACATGCTCAAATTAGAGATTTCTTGGAGTAGACACTTTGAAACTGTTCATGTTTGACGATCAAATACGAGCTTTTAAGTAAGTTAATAAACGATAGCTGCTTCGACCGGCTACTGTTCAAGCAAGAATCACCATTCCGTGAGAAACAAAGCACTATGGCTATAGAACGCCAGCCTAAAAAACAACCAACTTCAAATCTATCGGCGTTTTTTAAGATCGTCTTGCCGCCCTCCAAGACAACACACACGCAGGCATTTACATTCATAATGCTTGAGAAATTTTTTTTTTTTTTGCTATGACATTGACTCAGTTACATTTCAATTAAGGTGGTCTGCACAAGTTATTTTTCTTTTAGATCTGGTGATTTTCTTTTTTACCAAATAAATGATTGAAAAAAAAGAATTATGTCAAAAACACCAAATTTAAATGATATCACGACTATGTAAACAAAACATGGGTGCATTTTTATACATTTGTTTGAACGATGAATTGAAAAAAAAATGTTCTATCGATCTGTCTTACCAAGTCTTTGTAATTAATTAATTGATTGACTAATTTATTAATTAATATAAATTGTTTAATTGGTTTCCTAACCCCACGATGCAAACAGCGAATATTTTATTATATACCTTCACCGTCTCGTTCGTCAGTTTTGTTCAATTTCCGAAAATTCTCCGAGTTTCTCAATCACCTACCCAGTTATCTTGTTAGGATATTTGATGAGTTCTTTCACAAAATTTACTTTTAAATAAAATATGAACTTACATGGCTCTTTGTAGGTGATAAAAATGCTAAAACTTTTTATCAAAAGCTCTTTAAGGGGTAAATATGAAAGCCAAATAAAAAATTTTTTGTTATAATCTCAGTGTAAAATTAAGAAGCACATACAATAAGCACACGACGCGCAAACAAACAAACAAATATACAAACAAACAATCATACAAACAAACACAAATATACATTTTACTTTTAATTTTAAAAAAAGGGCAAAATCACTCTTGTGACAGAGATATAAAGCAAACGAATTATTACCGAAATTGAAAGTTTCTATTTATAAAGCACACAATACAATTTATAAAACATACACACACACACACACACACACACACACATATATATATATATATATGCGTGTCTGTCTGTGTGAATGTTTATTTTTGTGTGTGTATGTGTGTGTTGAAAATAATGTTTGCTTACATTCCAACAAAATGTGATAGAGGGAAAAACAATAAAGAGAAAGACCCAAAAAAATAATAAACAAATAACAAAAATAATGAAAAAGAAGAATCATAATAATAAAAACAAGAATGATAATACAAACAAAATTAATAATAGTAATAACAAAAAAAAATTGATGCCTGACTCTATTTAGGAATCATTTGAATTCAATTAAATTGAACTAAGTCTAGTGAACAATTCACAAACAATATATATATATTTAAATTAATTTATTTAATTAATTTAAACAATGACAATAAATAAAAATTAAATAAATGATATAATTAAAATATTATTAAATGTATCTATTAATCTAGGTCCAATTGACGCGTCTGTAGCATTTAAAAAAATAAATGTATATATATATATATATCTATATAAATATCTATATATATATCTATATATATATATCTATATATATATCTATATATATATATATCTATATATATATCTATATATATATATATATATATCTATCTATCTATCTATCTATCTATCTATCTATCTATCTATCTATCTATCTATCTATCTATCTATATTTTAAAAACAAATTATTCGTATAGAAAAAAAGACAGCATGATAGATTGAACAAAACATGTGATCAATGGATTGATTGATCAATCAATCATTCATTCACTTACTCAATCATTCATATTTACAATAAATTGAATTCGACAGACGATGATGGCGCGTAAGATGTTCAAATCTTCTTGTCAACTCTCACCTGCCTCACTGTGTTTTGAAAAAAAATTGAATTGAAATAAAAAAAAATTAAATTGAAATAAAAAAAAATGAATCAATTAATCAAAAAATTAATCATTAATTAATAAAAACTAATAATTTCTTTAATTAAATGAATGACTGAATCATTGAGTGAACGAAAAAAACTGAATAGCATAGAAAATAAATTAGAAATAACGCCAACAACAACAAAAACAACAGCAGCAGCAGTAGCAATACTAACAAGCATCATTATTAGCCTGCAGGGACTTAGATATCTCGATCCTGGCGGCTGGGACTTCGAGAAAGATGCTGAACTTCAGGAGGGTCTTGTTCCTCTTCACCAGTTCCGCAATCTCCATCTCACTCTTCACTCCCAGAACTTGAGGTCTCTTGTAGGAGGAGTTGAAAAAAAAACGCCGAAGATAAAAGATCAGATGGACAGAAAACTTATTTCATTATAACCTGACCTAATTATTAATCAATAATCTGACCAGATTATTATTTGATAGCCTGACCTAATTATCAATCAGTAGCTACTTGAATATTTTTCGGTAACCTGAACGAATTATAACCTAATTAAAATTAAATTAATTAAACCATTCAGACTTCAATTACATAATCGTTACATGACCAAATCATTAATTCATCAATCAATCAATCAATCAACCAATCAATCAATCGACCAATCAATCAACTAATCAATCAATCGACCAATCAATCAACTAATCAATCAATCAATCAATCAATCGACCAATCAATCAATCAATCAATAAATCGACCAATCAATCAACTAATTGGCAAAAAAATGTATAAAGTATATGTAACAAAACCCATCAATCAATAGATGGATTAATTATAGCCCACTGACCTGGTTGGCTACTTTGAGGTCAACTATGGTCTGATGACAGTTGACCGACCTTACAAGGTCAGCAATGGTCTGGCCACTAAGGAAGTTACTTTCCACATTCAACATGGTCAATCTCCTGTTTTCTCTAATGGCCTCTGCTAATACCTAACGTAATAGTGATGATGATGATAGTAGTAGTAGTAGAAGTAGTAGTAGTAGTGGTAGTAGTACTAGTAGTAGAAGTCGTAGTAGTAGTGGTAGTAGTAGTAGTTGTAGCAGTAGTAGTATAGGTAGTATAGGAAGGTCTATCTACAATATTGTGTAATGTTGTTTACAGTCATTACCACATTATCATCAACATCTCAATCATCACCATCATCACCAACACGTCATCATCATCACCAACACGTCATCATCATCATCATCACCACCACCACCACGTCATCATCATCATCATCATCATCATCATCATCATCATCATAACCTTTGCAGGTTTGTCAGTGAGTCCAATGTTGGCCAGATGCAGCTTCTCCAGTACAGTGTTACTTTTTAGGGAATTGAAAATATCTAATAATAGCTCGTTGGGGATTTCCTGTTTGAATGTAAACAAAAACGATGATGGTGATGATGATAACGATGATAATAATAAAATTATAGTAGTAGTAGTAGTAGTCGTAATATTAGTAGTAGCAGTAGTAGCACTTCTGACCAACCATACTCAAATATAAATATAATAAAATATTCAATGAAGATACATACAAACATTCAAATACACACACACGCACAAAACACACATCCAAATACACTAATACAACAAACGTGCACACATGCAAAACAGCGAAGATACAAATAAACACACCTAAAAATACTCCAATATATACAAACCTTAATATTGTTAAGATTGAGTTCAGTGAGGGTAGCATCATTACCTATAAGCTTTCTCAAGCTCAATTCAACATCAGTGTCATTGGCTGGTTCATTTTCATACTGCTTGCAGGGCTCACACTTTGTTATTGCTGTTCCATAGTTGCAGTATTATCATTTTCATAACCATTATCATTTTCATCACCATATATATAGAATTGTATGTTATAAAGTATACACTATACATATCAATACACAGACACACACACATACACACACACACACACACACACACGCACGCAAGCAACACTTTCGTACACTAAAAAATTTTAAAAGTTCAACTCGGCTCTTCCCAGCTCTCATTAAAACTGAATTAAAAAATGTTTAATCAAATAGGATGTTTATTATAGAGAAACAACTTCAGAACTTCAACATATAACTAACAAACAAATATGTGTGTACATAAAACCCATAATTAAGTTATCAGACGCCTTATCGGAAAAAAAAGATAAAAATTTCTTTCCAATATTAATTAAAAAGTTATCAAGAACTTCTTATAAAATAATAAAACGACACTTATACATACATAAAACAACACTTACACATGCGTAATATAAACACGCACGCACGCGCACACACACGCACACACAGACAAAAATTTTAATTATGCATTCAAGTGAGCATACCAATTTGATTTTCAAAAAAATTACAAGCTGAAGACAATTACAATAGACAAACAAACCAATACACACACACACACACACACACACACACACAAACAGGCACGCCTAAAAATCACACACACACACACATACAAACAAACATACACTGCAGTCCTCCTGGGATTTCGGCTGCCTGCTTTCCGGAAACAAATGCATGGTGATACTGATTCTGATTCAACAATCCATGAAATCCCAAAACAGCTGACGATGGGATTTGGGATAAAAGATTTCAATGATTATCTATTCAAATCAGTAACTTTTAGTTATTTTCACAGATAATTAGTTATTTATCTTCAATAAATGTGTGTGTGTGTGTGTATGTATGTGTCAATTACTTATTTTCTATGTGAAATTGAAATAAAATATGAATAATTTTTAGCTAAAAACCTTGAGAATTTAATCAATGAAACCTAGAGAAGACGATGACACGTAAACTACATCATCTATCCACTCTCATTCATATATGTTACAAACATAGCTTACACGCATTTACAATTGGCATACATAGATATACTGTACGATGGTTACAAAAGTTTAAATTGAACAAAAATGAAAAGCTCTGTCTAAAACCGGGAGAAATATTTCTAACCAGCTAAATCAACCAGCTCGTCCTCAGTTGCACTCTTCAAGGCTTCGTCCCATTCCGTCTCGACGACATCGTCTAGATCTTTCCTGATCACCACTTTATCTGCTTCTTTGGGTTTCCATACTTTCCCTTAATGAATTATTCAATTTAAATTATGATTTAATTAAAATTATATTAAATAATGGCAACTTTTTACCATTTTGATTAAATTTTAATTAAAAAAAGTTTAATTTGTTGAGTATGGTTGGTTTTTTTTAGTCTTTTATATAGCTGGCTGATGAATTAAATGATTTTGAATAAACAATTTCGAGAATAAATGTTACCAAAAAGTTTAAAAAATTGTAAAAATTAACAAAGAAATATCCTAAAAATGTTAATAGCATACCACTACTTATTTATTTAAAATAGAATCATACAAATATATGTTAAATTTTATAAAAACAATAAACAAATTTATATCAAAAATCAAATCACTTAATGGATACAATACAATAATAGAGATATATCTCTAAATAAATAGTTAAAAAAATAAATTAAACATTTTTTTTTAAAAGTTATAATACCTCTGGTTTCTTTAACATAGGGTTTTGCGTCTGCCCAATCTTTCTCTTTAGCAGCTTTGGTCTCCAAATACTCCAGAAGTTTCTGCCTGTCAAACGGTCCACTGGCCTCCTTGTCTGTTTTGTAGCGACATCTATCTGATGGGGGTATGTGTGGGTCCTAGAAAATTTTGGGATACATATTTTTTAACTAGTAAATAACTAATTAATTAGGCTATACCATGTATATAAATAATATATATTCAGTGAGTGTAGTTATTATACTATAGTATACAACACAACAACACACTTATAAGTAAATAATTAATAAACTATAAATTAAATTAAAAAATCTATAAAAATCATACTTAAAATATATTTTTGATTAATTATAAATAAATACACTTAAAATGTGTAAATTTGAAAAAATAAAAAGCGCTATCTGACGTCGGAATCAACTAATTCCAGGTGCAATTCTTCCAGTTCCTCCTTGGTCAATTTGGACAGCAAATCATCAATCTCGCTCTCTTTGAAAGTCTTCACGTCTCGATTGAAAACTTCAATGGTAGACATCTTTAAAAAACTTATTAATTTAATTATTTATTAATTATTTTATTTAAAGAACTTGCAAATTTGGATTAATATTTAAAAAGCTGCCTCTAAAAAAAATATTTATGTTAATAATTTCGAAAAATACCGTCTCGGACCGAAAAAGCCAAAAGGACGATAGACGACAAAAAACCTGCAGCGCTTTATAACTTTATAATTAGTAGAAATTATTTATATGACAAAATTTTTTATTAAATGGCATAGAAAATGATTAAGATTGATCAATTATTGATACTTTAATTAAAAATATGTATGAATAGCAATGTAGTTAAGGAAAAACAGCTAAACATTGTCACGATTATGACTAAGTTGCAATGAATTCGTGTATATATACAAGTATGGGTGTATTTTTATATAGTATATAAGATGTATACCGTTTTTATTGTATATAATATACATCTAATATTTTTAGTAAAACAATGAATCAATTGATTTATATGACAAAATCAGTACTGTTACTTCGCTTCACTAAGTATGTAAGCATATACAGAGTCAATATGATCTCACTAAGATATTTATTTAAAGTTATTAATACTAAAGTTAAATGAATGTATCTTATTTATGTATCATAAATTATTGATACTAATATTTGATCACTCAAATTTTTATGTTGAAAACCAGAGTCTAAGGCAGAGCTCAAGAAATATATGAATATATGATTTTTGGTACGATATATGACGTAGTATGGCTCGCTTTTTGAAGTCATTATCTAGCGCTAATTTTTTTTGTTCGTAATGTTTAGATGTTGAATGGATGCCAACATTAAGATATGATTATATTCAACTACATGAAACAACAACAGCAACAAATAACCGTATGAAAATTATTTGCCTAAATTTACTAAGAATAAATTAATAAGTTTAGAGCGTTTTCTTCGAAAATCTGATGACCTCCTCATAAAAACTGGGTCACCGACGTTGACCTGACCTAGTTTTGTGGCAACCAAATTGATGCCGAAGCATGGGGAGTTCTTAAACTCAGGGTACATCAGTCGATATCTGTCAAAAAGTGAAAAAATAATTAACTGATCGTTAAACAATGAAAATAATTAAAAATAATTTATCGAATATTCAAGATAGTTTAAAAATTGAAAGTTAGTAAAAAAAAATTGTCTCAATTTACTGTCTTAATGTCTTTAATGGCTCATAACCAGGCAATCTTTCGCCCGTCGAAGGCTCGATGGTTGTCATCGTACATCTAACATATATGTGTGCGTGTGTTTGTGTGAAATCTAATCATGAAAAATTTTATGTGGAATTAAACTGGAATAATGAAAAGGAACATTCTAAGGCATAGCTTGCAGACTTTGAAATATCATCAACACTGACCTATCACACGGTTTCATGTTGTAAAATGTACAATCTCCTATTTTTATTTCCATCCAACCATCCTGAAAAATGAATATTTTAAAACTTTTGTTAACCACTGAATGAGGAAAATTGCGTTCATTCCCAACGCAGTTTGTCATATTTCAAATGAGTCAAATAAAACATGTTTAATTATAAATGTTGTAAAATATTTTGGAGACGTAAAATTTTTTATTAAAGTTGCTATATTTCTCGTAAAACCTGTATTATCAATATAAGGTATTAACATAAATCTAATTTAAATAGATTAATTGAAACATTAATTCCATTAAACTATCAATTATTCAACTAACAAATCACCTAATTAATTAATCAACCAACGTAAAAAAAACCTCATCAAACGCATCCATATTCGATTGAATGTGAAAATTTGGCCTGAAACACTCCATTTTTATCGAAAGAGACTCACCATCCAAATTTTCAGAAATTTCATAATTATTATTATCTTTCAAGCTTTTCTGGTAACATTTACTTTTGACGTCATCAAAAGATGCAGATGTTGTCAACAAAAACGGGTATCCGTCTTGGTATTGCACCTTGAAATTCGGTATTGGCGATATTTGTATAAAAATTCGGTACTTTTTCGGAACTTAATTTTACTATTTTAGACAAAAAACAGTTTTACCAGATTGTTATCACTATCAAATTAAATTCATTTCATTGTGTTAAGAATGAGAAAATTGTATAACATGGTAGTATAACATACAATAGAATGATATACTTTACTATCATTATAAAAATCTCCGTGTGTGGCATGTGTGTGTGTATGTGCGTGCGCGTTTGCGTGTGTGTGTACGTGCGTGTGTATGTGTCTGCGTGTGTGGATCTGTGGATGTGGACTCGCTAACTCTCACCTCATCAACATCTCTAGCGTCCTCTCTCCAGTGATCATCATCTCTTTTCAGTTTCCTCCTAGCTGTCCAACCATCCGTGAAACTTAATATCCTGTAACGTTCACCTTCAAACATTTAAATATGAATAAATATAAAAAAATTAAAAATTGCATAATTCATGTAGGTACCTTTATCTGATTGGTTGGTGTTGGGTAAATTGAAATAGTTGGTTATCCAATCGGAAGCCTCCATTCCGCAATCGTAACCGCCCACCCTGTCGTCCCATACACTAAATCATAAATTTGATTGGCTGAATTTTATTTAATTGCTTTATACTATAATTTACTGTGCTAACAAACTCACACAAATAAGCAAACAGACAAACGCGGACATACATTTTTGCTTTTATTGCCAATCAAATGCTGAAGAAATACACACACATATAATATAATATGTATACAATATGGGCTATATAAGTATAAAAGTATATAAGTAATAATAATAATAATAATATTATTATTATCATTATTAATACAAACGTAATTATGATTTCTTCACTAGCAACAACACTGCCAACTAGTGGAAGGATCAAATCGGTCATCTCCGGAGCCGATAACACTAAACTGTCCCCACGGATCAGTGACGAGATGTTGACCATCTTCGTCCTATTCCTCGCAGTCACCATTTTGTTTTTTTGGTCCACAACTATCCAGGACCTGAATTTGCATGTCAGGTCACGTGATTATTATTGTTATTATTATTGTTGTTGTTGTTGTTGCTGTTGTTATTAGTGTCGTTGTTGTTATAACTATTGATTGTCATTGCTAGTAACTGTAGGAGCACTTTGATCGGGATAATAGTTGCAAAAGACAAATAAATCAATTAAAAAAAACACACACACGTACACACAACGCACGTACACACAACACACGTACACACAACACACGTATACACAACACACGTACACACAACACACGTATACACAACACACGTACACACAAAATACCTGTCTTTAACGGTATGACCATTTTCATTTCGGATAGCCAGTCCACTATAGAGGATGTCGGCACTATCCAGACATATCCCTTTCGTTGATTTCAGAGGGTACAAGAACATTTTCTCCAAATGACCAACTTTTTCCCAGATCATTTTCCTTTTCCTACTGATGTAAGAGAGGAATACAATTTTCGAAATGAGGATCGCCGTTAGGCCTGAAAACATTTCTCCGCCAGAGGACATGATCTCCAATTTTCTTACGAAAAAAATGTAGCAAGGATGTAGTAACTGAACTTCAACGTGGTTCTACTACTAAATTACGTAATTTTCAAGAGATATTACGACGAAATTAATCACTAAATTTATTAAAATTTATTATTCTCGCGGTTTTTAAGCTCCAAATGGTAGAAGCTTTTAAATTAACCAATTATCGTAATCTATAAACTTGGACGAAGATTTAATTTTTCGTATCAAACTATCAAAAAAGTCTTCAGTTTCAAAGTCCGCGCATATAGAAAAATATAATACAACAGCTAGCACGTATAGTAGATATAGCACACAATAGCTGATCATAATATAGTTAACTATTTCACATAGTCGTAAATGTCTGTTTATACCCAGTATATGCATTGGTATACTTGATTCAAAATACAAAAATAATACCTAATTTGGTACAATTAACTAAATGCAAAATGAATTAAAATATGTATATTTATTTCATTATTTATTTCATTATTTATTTTATTTATTCATTGATTTATAACATATGTTACGAGTCTCTTGAAGGTAGAATTAAAAACCTGTGACTTATCTTAATATCTCAATGTGTTGTGTGTCTGTAGTAACATTATGTGAGGTATGTGTGTGTCTGTGTGTGTGTCTGTGTGCGTGTGTGTCTCTGTGTGTGTGTGCGTTACAACCTATAGTTTGCATGCATATATGTGGGTAGATAGATAAATTTATGTTTTTAATATTGCCTCAATGATAACCTTGGTGTATTAACTACACAGTGTAGAATAATTTAGTGTGATGTAATATTATATTGTTATTTTATTATTTATATCCTTATTATTATTTATATTGTTAATATTTATATTATTATTTTTTATATTATTATTATTGTAGATAAACTGTAGATAAACTAAAATATAATATAAATAAATGGTGATAGATTAAAATACTGTCAAGTACCTTATCGTTTATTTAATTGCAATTAAATATATTAAGTAAATATATAATTAAACGAATAGATAAATATATTTATAAATCTATATGTACATAATTACACTTATATACAGCCAAACATTTGGTTACACTCAAACTAAATTTTGCTATGCATGTGAAAACATAACAAAACAATAGCAATAAAATTAAATGCTGCTTTTTTACAGAGTTTTCTAAAAAATTTGCGTTATGTTTGATCTTTTTATACAAGTTTTATTTAATTAATATAATTTAATGTAAAATTTGTGAGAATTTATAAACATCTTTAACTTTAATTGGCTTAAATTACATTTTTTCAAATTTTAATATTCAAAAAAGCCAAATCTTGGTTTTAGCTTACTCCTCAAAACATTTTACTTTTAAACAAAATGTAATATCAGAGAAACGAGCAAAATAATCAAAGACATCTCATAATCTCATAATTCAGACACTAATTTTAGTTCATTTTTAAATCAATTAGCATTTTATTTGCCATCGTTTTATTTACTTTTATTTTTATTGAGAAGATTTGAGACTAGAAAGTTCTTTTCAACACGTAGACAAGTGTGTTGTGTGTGTTTGTGTGTGTGTGTATGTATGTGTCAAAAATTGTATAACATACATTTCAATGCATTGTATGTGTGTGTGTGTGTTTATGTATTCATTCTCCATGTATTTATGTTGTATGAGTTATAAGTGTTATAAAAGTGTTGTTATATATGTTGTTATATGTTCTTCTCAGTGTTATATATGTGTGTAATAACGTGTGCATACGTGTCCTATGTCAGGTAACACACCACACAAACACTCGCACACATGCACGCATACACACACAACATACATATCATACACATATGCATGCATATATTGATTCATATACAACACACAGACACAAATATGTCTTGAATGGAATCATGTCTTGTGGCAAAAATAAACTTGAAAAATCAAACATAGATAGAGATTAAACTAGACTATTATATATATATATACATAGTATATTCCAAAAGGTTATTTATCTAGTTTTCTAGTTTGATCCGTGTCTTTTCCACTTTTTCTCACTTTTTCTTAAAAAGTTTAAAGGAATTTTTTTTAATATTTTTTTTCATATTCTTAGAATCTTAGGTGAATTTACCTTGCAATTAATAATTTTCAAGGATTTTATTTTAGTTGAATTTGCATATTTCCATTTGTTTTTTAAGGTTTAAATGATGTTTTAAAACTTTTTTATTAGAATTATTTCATTTTTTGGTTTATGATTTCATCATTCAAATTGTTTGAAATATTTAATTTAGCCATTATTTATCAAGATTATAAAATTTTCATTTATTCAACCTTGTAAACTAGTGGACTATTTAGGAAAATAATTTTTCATTTTGATCTCCAGATCATTTCATCTCGTGTCGTACATACATGACATATAAAAATATATTTTATCTGATGAATCAATAGACTTGATTTCAGTTGTTTTGATTAACAACAAACAAATTTAATTTATCTAACTAATTAATTCAAATTAACTTTTAGACAGCAGACAAAATGAAGCAAGCCGTACTTAAAATTCTTCTTATTTCTCTCTGCCTAATCCTCCAAAATGTCAGGTGCGACATGTACGCGGCGATCTCTGAAATGGAAAAAATTCTAAAGGTTGAGAATGAGGTGGCCCGTGATTTAAGGGAATATGTGCAGAATGAAGAAGGCAGGCTGGAGCTTTTGAAAGGGTCCGTAGGTTTGCCTAATTCTGTAGAAAATTTGTTTTCCAGTTTTAGTTGGTTTTAGTTTGTCTTTACTAGATATTTAAAGTTAATTTTTATTTTAGAAATTTGCTATTCAGACAAATCATAATACTATGAACAATATAAATTAATCAGTTTTTGAAAGAATTTACTTCACTTAACCAGAATTTATTTAACATTATTACATGGTGATGCCCTTTCATTATAAAAATGCTATTTAAGTACATATGCGGCCCTTCAATGGTAAAAAGTTTTCAATGCGGCCCTCACAGCGAAAAGTTTGCCCACCCATGATCTAATATAAACTTATAAAAAAATATAAAATTCATCAAATTGTTTTCATTTTCATTAACATCTATCATTTTTAATATGCATAGAAATTGTTTTAGTGTGCCAGAGTCTGATTTTTTCAAAAAAAAAAATAATAACTTTAGTTTAGCAGACGAGTTCGAGGAGCATAGTAGGAAGGCCCTGGCGAACCCTGAGGGCCACCTCAGCAACCCCCTCAATGCCTACCTATTAATTAAGAGGTTCACCTCTGAATGGCAGTACGTGTTGGAAGAGAAGATTAAGAAGAGTTTCGCTGATGGTATCGTTTTTGTTTTTCTTTGCGCGTTTTTTTGGTTCAGTGGATGCATGGATGGATGAAAAGATAAATGAGTGAATGGATAGATGGATGAATTAATGAATTAATGAGTTAATTAACAAACGAATGATTTTTCATTCTATTATCTGACTGATAAACTGTTAAACCAAAAATTTTTAACTTTTGCTTGATTTTTTTTATTACTGGCTATTTAAACGCACACGTGGGCACACACACACACACACTCACACACACACAAATATCCACACACACACACACAAATTCACACACACATATTCACACACACACAAATCCACACACACACACAAATTCACACACACAAATCCACACACACATACACACACACACACGCACGGTTAATTTTTCCAGATTTCCTTCGAAGGTTAGACGAGAAGACGGCAAATTTTCCGACCAGTGAAGACCTACATGGGGCCATCAATGCCCTCATGAGGTTGCAGGATGTGTATGACCTGTCCACTAGCGAACTGGCCGACAATGGCATTGATGGCACTCCTGGAGCTTCTAAGTTGTCTTGTATGCCTGTTTATTTGTTTGTTTGTGTGTGCGTATGTTTGTTTGTTTGTTTGTCTGTTTATTTGTTTGCTTCTTGATTTTGCATAATTTTTTCACTAGCGCCCATTCTTATTGGTGGTATATCGTTTCCTTGATATTAATTAGTGTTTAAAACTGCACACACACGCACACATCTAAGCACACACATATTTTCACACACACACACACACACACATGCACACACACTACCCAGCAACACTCCGCACAACAAACAGTTGAAGATTGCAAACTCCTCGGCTTGTCAGCCTACGAGAAGAAAGATTTCTATCACACGATACTCTGGATGACTGAGGCGATGAGGCAGCTAATCAAATCACCCCTAGAGGAACCGAAATTTCAAATTCAGAGAATCGATATTCTGGATTATTTGGCCTTTTCTTACTATCAGGTTGGTCATTCGGTCTTCTAGCGAGTTGATTGTTTCAAACTGCACAAAGGCACATATCTAAACATCTAAGCACACACTTATTTTCACGCACACACACACACACACACAATTATTGTTGGGAAAATTTTTATCCTTTTCAAATTTTGCAATCAATCAATCACACACACTCACACATGCACACACACTAGCCACGATTGACTGATTGATTGATTGATTGGTTGGTTGGTTGGTTGGTTGGCTGGTTGGTTGGTTGGTTGGTTGGTTGGTTGATTGACTGACTGACTGACTGACTGACTGACTGACTGACTGACTGACTGACTGACTGACTGACTGACTGACTGACTGACTGACTGACTGACTGACTGACTGACTGACTGACTGACTGACTGACTGACTGACTGACTGACTGACTGACTGACTGACTGACTGACTGACTGACTGACTGACTGACTGACTGACTGACTGACTGACTGACTGACTGACTGACTGACTGACTGACTGACTGACTGACTGACTGACTGATTGATTGATTGATTGATTACCCAAAATGCAGCAAGGTAACATTAAGAAGGCCATCAATTTGACACTGGATTATTTACAATTAGGTAGAGCGTTTTGTTGTTTTTGCTTCGTTAATAATAATAAAAATAAAACAATATCAACAACACCAATAACAACAACAACAACAACAACAGCAACAACAACAACAATAATAATAATAATAATAATGATGAATAAACATAACGAAGATTAAAAACAAATTTTCTCCCCAAACTGCAGACCCAAGCAACACCAGAATCCAGTCGAACCTGCGCCACTATCAGCAACTTCTGGAGCAGCATCGAGACCTGTTATCGTCATCATCGTCATCAGGAGGGCCGGTCGCCGATTATGATGATGATTACAATCCGAGACCACACACAGACAACCGGATTCGATCTGATGAGTTCTACAACTACGAAAGACTCTGCAGAGGAGAAAAAATTATGGTTGGAAAAATTTTTTATCCTTTTTTACATTTTGCGATCCATCAATCAATCCAATCTATCAATCCAATCAATCAATCCAATCAATCAATCAATCAATCCAATCAATCAATCAATCAATCCAATCAATCAATTGGCTGCTCGGTCAATCAATCGTCCAATCAGCTATTAAAAAAACTACCCTACCAATTAACCTCTAGTTAGCCAACCAACCAATAGGAAACAAGTACCTCTTGACCTGTCAAATAAAAGGTCATAACTCCTCCTTATATTCTGACTAACCAACTAACGAATCGGCTTGCTAATCAATCACCAACCAATCAGTCAATCGCCCAACCAATCAACTAGCTCTTCAATCAATTAGCTCTTCAATCAACTAATCACCCACCTAACCAAATCCGCCAGCCAATAGAGAACGAGCACCTTTTGACGTGCCAGCTGAAAAGTCACCACCCCGCCCTATATTTGAGGCCGGCCAAAGAGGAGCAAGTGAACTATGACCCGCCGATGTTCATGTACCATGACCTCCTGGTTGACGATCAGATGGAAACTATTAAGAGATTAGGAAGACCACGGGTGGGTTTTTTTGGGGGTTTTGGCGTGTGTGGTGTATTTTTTGGTGTTTAAGGTGTGTTGGGTGTATTATTCTTTAGTATGCGCTGACGCATCATGTTTGTTATTGTTGTTTGTGTCATCTCATCTGTCTCCTTTGAATTCCGATGTATTTAATTTATAAGAATTTTTCATGTTTTTTTTTACGATGATTTCATGTATGGTGGATAAATTTAGATGAATGAGTTAGTGAATGAATAAACGAACGAACGACCGAACTAACGAACTAACGAACGAGTAAATGGATAAGTGAACGTATGAATGAACGAACGAACGAACGAACGAATGAATGAACGAATTAATAACAGCTCTACAGATCGGTCGTATTTCAGAAAGAAGGAATGGAGAGTCCCGACTTCACAGCACAAGATTACAGGATTAGTAAAACGTAATAAAAATATTCTTAGTAGTGTAGTGACGAAGGTGCCTGGTTCTGCTCAGGCTTGCTGTGACCGCGTTCGAATGCAAAGAGATCTCTCTTTATCACATGCACTGTGTGTTTTCTGTTGTTGTTCTTCTCGATGCCTTTGTGATATACTGACGAGAGGATTGACGCAGAAGTGTAAAGAACTGTAAAGAAATTGTAAAGAAATTGTAAAAATGTTTTTTTAAATCAGCGGTTGGATCAGTGACAAAGAACATCCACATGTCTTAGGCTTCAGTACCATTGCTTCTGCCATTGCAAACCTTACACTCGATTATGCTGAAGAGTTGCAGGTTTTTTGGTGGTGTGTTTGGCGTTTTGTGTGCGTGTCTGTCTGTGTGTTTGTGTGCGTGTTTGTGTGTGCGTGTGTGTGTGCGTGTGTGCGTAGGCTGTGCTTTGTGGTATTTTGTATTCACAATTTATTTCACAGGTGTTGAACTATGGTATTGGTGGTCACTATGAGCCTCATTTTGATTACTCTTCGGTCAGTTTAGTCTTCCATTATTATTATTATTATTAACAGGGTTTAAAGTGGTTCAGAAGACTATGGTCTGTGTAAGAACCACTACATTGCATTGTATTTTAAGGTATTTCAAGGTATTATTTTGTATTTTTGTGTTTTAAGATGAGTTGTGCTCTGTATTTGGTTACTCTGATGAGTTTTGTTTTCATTTCATGTCAATCAATTTTTTTCTAGAACCCTGAGCCAAGCGAGTTTGAAAAAGTGCGAGGAAACAGAATTGCTACCTTCCTATGTTATGTAAGTTGCGGTGATTGATTGACTGATTGATTGACTGATTGATTGACTAATTGGTTGGTTGATTGATTGATTTATTGACAGATGAGTGACATAAAGATAGGGGGTTCAACGGTGTTCCCTCAAGTTGGGGTTAAATTTACCCCGAAGAAGGGCAGTTGCGCTCTGTGGTACAACCTCCACAAAAGTGGTGTTGGTGATCGACTGACCAGTCACGCCGCATGTCCGGTGTTGTCCGGTATTAAGTGGGGTGGGTATTTTTCGTTGTGTGTGTGTGCGCGTGTGTGCGCGTGTGTGCGCGTGTGTCTGTGTATGTGTATTTTTTGTTGCTTAGTGTTGTTCTTGCTGTACTGGTATGGTATTTTTGTATTTTGTATTGTTCCGAAAGTTTGCATTCATTTTAACATAATCATATTCACACAAGCACAGATGTTCACACGCACATGCACACACACGCACGCACACACACACGCACAAACACATACAGCTACAAACAAGTGGTTCAGAGAAAGAGGTCAAGAGTTCATTCGGCCCTGTACACTCTCTCCTATGGACTGATGATGACGAAGAGGATGACGATGATGATAATGATTACACTATTGATGAGGATGATGACGATGATGTTGATGATGATAATGATATCGGTGATGATGATGGTGATGGTGAAGTATTATAAAAATGTTTATAATTATTTTCAGATTCTCATACTCTACTCACTCAATCATTCACTCATCACTCATTCACTCATCACTCACCCACTCACTCAATCATTCGCTCACTCACTCACTCACTCACTCACTCACTCACTCACTCACTCACTCACTCACTCACTCACTCACTCACTCGTAAAATTTACTCCTTATCGATCTGTCGTTGTTAATGAAAGTTCAGTGTGTTTTTTTCTTCCTTTTCTTTCTTATAGTTAATGATAGTGGTGATAACAACAACAACAACAACAATAATAATAGTAATATAATGTTAATGTTAATATTATTATTATTGTTGTTGTTATCGTTTTGTTATTGATGTTTAAGTAAATGTTTTTAATGTTTTTTTTTCATTAATTATGTAAAATTATGAAATTATTTATATATATATATATATATATATAGAGAGAGAGAGAGAGAGAAGGAGAGAGAGAGAGAGAGAGAAAGAAAGAGATCATATCAATTTTTATCAACTCCTTTTTTTTCAGATAAAGTTTTACAGTGCGCCTCTTACCTTTTCAATTGTATTTTCGTTAAAAAAATAGTTGACTTAATTAACTTTTTAATAACCCAATTAATGATTTAATTAATTGACTGATTAGATTGCTAATTAGTCTATTAGTTAGATGATTCTTGGAATTAATATTCGTTATTTTAGTTAGACTTAATTGACTCTGACAAAATCTACGACCTGATATTAATATAAAAATATTCTGTCCAATCAATTTACAATCGGTTAATTAGTTATTTAACTAGTTAATTGATTGACTAATTGGTTGATTGACTAATTAATCTATATTCATTTTTGAACCTATGAATATTTATAGACATGCCAAATACATTTTTTTCGTGTTCGAATCATGATCATTTTGCTTTTTTTATTTTTCAACTTGAATGAAACGAGCAGGTTTATGTTAATAAAAATAAAATTCTTTAAAACGAGTCCGTTTTTTTTCTAAATATTTCTGGATTTGTCTTGATTCTCACGATCTTTCATTCATTAACTCATTTATATGTTCGTTCGTTCATTCATTCATTCGTTCATTCATTCGTTCGTTCATTCATTCAATGTCGATACGAAGAAATGACTTTATCCTGGCTCACTCATTTATTCATTGGTTATTGATCTCCGTGTAGTTTCTACTTTCTTTTATTTTCTTCTTACATTCTTTTTGGTTTATTCTTTTTTCTTTCTTTTCAATCGTTCACTCATTCATTCAGTTATCAATTCATTTAATCATTTCTACTTTCATTTATTCAGCTTCATTTATTCAGCTTCATTCATTCAGCTTCATTCATCATTCATTCATTCATTCATTCATTCCTTCATTCATTCATTCATTCATTCCTTCATTCTACTATTTGTTTGTTTGTTTGTTGACTAGACAATTAATTAAACAATTGATTAATTAATTAACTTCTCAATTCATTCATTCATTCGTTCATTCCAATCATTCATTCATCCATTCATTCGTTCATTTTTTTAAAATTAATTCATCTGCTCATTACTTCATTCATTCATTCATTCATTCATTCATTCATTCATTCATTCATTCATTCATCTATTCATCAGTCCATCCGATATAATTTTTTCAATCATTCCGTGTTTTCCTGTACACAATAATGATTTATTTATTCGGTTTTATGCACTTTGCAGTGTGCATGCCAACTCTACTACTACTACTACTGCTACTACTACTACTGCTACTACCATTACTACTGCTGCTGCTGCTGCTACTACCATTACTACTACTGCTGCTGCTGCTGCTACTACAATTAAAAATGATAATTAATGATGTTCCCTGATATTATTATTAAGAAACATCACCATATTTTACAACTATTGGGGTTTACACATTTCAAAAATATGCAATAAAAAATGAGAGAGAGAGAAAGAGAGAATATACATAAATATGCGTGCGTGTGTGCTTGCCTATGTTATTATAAGGCTAGGTGATTTTAATTAACGCTTCAAACGAATTAGTACAAATTTTTCAAATAAATTCCATATCGGCACGCTCAAATAAAGCACACACACACGCGCACCAAACACACTCGTACACACCACACACACACGTATATGCTTATACCACACATATATAATTAACTGTGGTGTATATTTATGTATTACATGAGATCATGCAATTAATTGGAATGATGTATGTATGTGTGTTAATACTTACCTATACATGCTTCATCTATTTCTATCTACTCCATTATGTCCAAATACATATTTAGATATTTGAGTATCTTTAATTGTATAGAAAGCATTTTACGAAACGAAACGAAACGAAACTGTTTTAGAGGCAAAAATTCAGAAAATGAATGTCCGGCAAAAGAAAAATTTTCAAAAATTCACGGAGTCTAGCCCCAAAAATAAACATCTAGGTATGTGTGGTTGTGTTTATTGATACTAACACTCACACACACACATAATCACACACAACACACACACCCACAAATACACATACACACACATGTACAAATACTAGAATACTAGGTGTATTGTGGTGTGGTGTATTATATCTTGTGCACACATTCAAATACAGGTGCAAATGATAACGTACATACCTGACTAATCCGTTTCCGTGTGGAATTATTAATAAACTTCCTACTACCATAACCTCTCTTTCTCTCTCTCTCTCTCTCTTTTTTACATTTTTTTTCTCTTCCTTCGTCTCTTCTTTTCTTTATATCTTTCTCTCTTTCCATCTCTCTCTCTTTCTCTTTCTCTCTCTCTCTCTTTCTATTATGGTTTCAGAACATGGCGTACTTATTCCTTTCATTTGTTTCCATTATTTTATCTTTCCTTATTTATTATCTTCTTCCTTCCTTTGCTTTATTTATGCTTTTTGGTTTCTGCTGCATTTTTCATTACCTCTGCCATAGGTAATCAAACTTTTTTGGCGCGATTTTTTATCGTTTATTTACGATTTAGTCTTTTTGGTTATTTGATTTTATTATTTTTATTATGCTTCAGCCGGTTGGTTAGTCACTTAGTTGGCTATAAAGTCTTGGCCAGATGGTTTAATGGTTAAGGGCGCGTGCCTGGTCATGTGTGGCACTGACTGGGTTCAAACCTCAAGGGAATCCTGTCATATTGATATAGTGATTGAAAAAATTTGATTGACATACTCCAGTTGAAAAAATCGGTTTCTTCATTCGCTTCATTTACGATACATACATACACACATACAAACAAATATACAGACAAGCATACAAACAAACCTACATACAAAAATAGTTTATTTATTGTCTTTTTGTGACGTCATTTTCACCTGAAAACAACACACCTGAAAGTTTGCTCACCTTCGTTTAAAAGTGAATGTAGATTGTTAAGGTTGAGACAAACTCTAAGGCATGCTGACGGAGGTGTTTCTGATTGTTGTTATTGTTTGTTGTTGTTATTATTATTATTAATGCGTGTTACTGTATGTGTGT